GCCGTAGATAGTCATGTAAAGAAAAGTTTGAGTTAGAGCAGCAATTTTAAGTTTGTTTTGGTCTAGGAAGTTCAAAGTACCTTTAGGTTCCATTATATCTTATTTACTGTCTAACTAAAGCATACTTTTACTAATGTGGCCTCTGTTAATTGATTTACTTTGTTTTCATGCAAAAATGCTTTTCCTCACTGTGCAAATAAAGTAGACAGAAAGGTGCAGCCCTAATTCGAATGTATCTTTATAAGGTTTATGGTATTTTGTCCTAATAGTTCCTCAACAGAGCGCTTGCCGATATCTCCGATGAGAAAAATATAAACTATCGTATTTGCAATCTTCGTCCGAACACGTTCGGTCGCATCAAGTTTCCAGGCCGAACACGTTCGGTGACCGAACTATCGGATTATTGCATGCCTAACGATGAGTGAAGTTGATATCGAGCAATGACCCAAGACCCCGAACACATGAATTCGTATTTTGTGCATTTATGAGCCATCACGTATAAGCGACGATAGACAGCGCTCAAACGTATATCACAGAACTCGTTCGAATGATTCATAAAAAAACATAGACATTTCTAAGTAAAATGACGTTTTCCGTTCGAAAAAATATTGCCTGGTTGATGAGAAACGAGCATTTTAAAATTTCGACCTACTTTTGAAAAATGTGACATCTCTCATACTGACAACTTTCTATTGCTCATATCTCAGCATTCATAAAAGACAAAGAGATCAAATTGTTTACATAAATAGAACCAACAGTTTTCCTCGATTTAAAACAAACCGGACATCTGGGAATGGTTTCATTCTCATACAGTGATCTGTATCCGGTACGTCCTAAACTCATATTTTGTTCACTTTGGAGCCGTACTGTATCGAAACGAAATATTTTCATAAAATTTTGAAACAGCATTAGATAGAGAGAGGCTCGAATACTACAACGCCTGAACGTGTGAGCTTGTAATTTGCTTTCGCTCAAATAAAAACTCCATCGAAAGTAGCGAATTTAGCTGAAAATGTAAGTTTTCAAAATCTATTTTCTCCTATGGCATAACACAAATTTTGCAAATATTTAGCCATAAGTAGTTCCAACCTTGATCTATCAATAAATCAAAACATTTCGGTGGGCAACGTTAAGCTCACTGAATTTTCAAAAAACTAATTTTAAAGCTGTTTTCTTTTAATAGTCATTTCTTTTTTTGTTATCGCAGTGGTAAGATTACTTTATCGTGTGGTCTATTGTAGCCATACACTGCTTTTTTCAGTTTTTTGTTTTAATAAATAAATTTTAAATATAAATGATGTTAAACCTCGTGAAACTTCTTGTAGACCGCAAAACCTTGGATTCTTGAATGTTTCAAGATCTTGAGCGAAAGATTCAAGAATCCAAGATCTTGCGGTCTACAAGAAGTTTCACTACGGACATGATCAGTCAAATGTGATAGACGATATTTGATTCAAAATAAAAGATAAGATAAAATACATATATGTAGAACGCATTCAGTCGTCATATATTGTGGAAAAAGGAAAAGTTGTATTTATCTATTTTGTATTTTATCTTTTATTTTGAATCAACTATCGTCTGTCACATTAGACTTATGATGTCTTTTGAATAAAGAAACGTCTCTAACCGAAAATAGTCTATTTTCATGATTATAAAGGTGGTTATCTCTTATTTTCTGTATTGAAATTCTTCACTTAAAAAAATGACTCAAATATATCTAAAACTATATTCGAATCTAAAATTGCTAAAAATCAGGCATTTTTGTAACAAAATCATCGAAAAAGAGAAAAAATGATAGGAAAAGAGGACAAAGGGGACGGGTTCTGAAAAAAAGAGGATCATTCACAACCCAGGATGAATATTTATCCATCAACAATCTAAAATAATATTCAGCGTTAGTATGATTACCCATCATCATTAGAAATAATCCTAATATTTCTAATGTTGGATTTTTATCTACTTCATTTGTATAATAGTCCATTAATATTTTGAATTGTTGTTCAATTTTTGTTGATAAAGTTAAGTGTACATACCATATACTATCAAAGTCTCCCATTGAATCAATACGAAAAACTGTACACGTTGAAAATAAAATTTCTTTTCATCTTTATTATTACTGAAATGTTCAATATTTGCAAACGACTGTGTATTTTTTATGCCTGTATCAACCGTTATTTCAAATATAACTGATTCTAGGAATGGACGTTCTTCACCATTACCAGCGATCATGCATGCGAATCCACAATCAAGTGTCGTAGATAAAAATGAAATTATTGATATGAATCCACTAATATTTTGTTGTAAAGTTTTGAATTCATTTGCTGATATCATTTGACCACGATAAATAATTAGTGCTTTACTGGATGGTTGTGCATAAAATTGTGAATGTAATTCTTGTAATTGCTTCAATTATGTTTATTCATGTAATTCTTGTAATTGATTCAACATGGATAAAGAATTATTCAAAAATTGTGGATATTTTTATTGATAAAAAGTTATTATTTTCAAAATTAATACATGATATATCAGTTTATTCATCAAAATTAACACCAATGAGTATTTTGAATTCAAAACAAACATCTTTACAAGATTTACATAACGAAACAACTACATTTATGTGATTCCAGTTAGTAATGAAAACATTATTATTAATATCTGGTGATAACGGTGTTAAATCAAAACAAGAAATGTTGACTTTCTGTTGAAAACGTTATGAAAGGGATAAACAAGAACAACGACGTATTGATGAATTCGAACGAACTTATACATCAGATAAAGCAATATGATGGTATACAACTGATAAATTTCTCTATCGTCTTTTAAATCGAGCATTTCGTACACAAAATATTAATATTATATTTATAACAGGTGGCGCATAAAGAACCGGACTTTTTTGTTTTGCCTATAACTCTGCCGGTTTTCACCCTACCGATCCAAATTTTTTTTCCAAAAGATTTCTCATTCAATTCTCTACAAAAGCGTGTAAAAACAATTTTCTTGAAGTGGAGTGCAGCGGAGTTATGAGAGAACAAAGTACACCCGGTAAAAGTTGCAACTTTCCAAGATATATTCGTTACAATCTTTTTATACTGTTCGCCCGTTACACTTATTTTAAAACTTCTATCTTTGACAGTTTCTAGTAGAGTAAAGTGTGCTCTTTCAGATGTACTATAAAACAAGTTTCCAAAAAAAGCGATACCACTGATTGAAAATAGGATTTTCTCAAAAAGTCACAAAAACGCGTTTTTTCACGTTGCTGCGTGAATGAAAGCGACCCATGGTGTCTAATGACTTTAAAATCATTTGCAGCAAGAAGCTGAAACTTTGACCTTCAAAACAAAACAAAAATTTAAGAGAACGGATGATTTTTGGTTGAATGGCATTGATTTTTGAAATAAGCGAAAACATGAATCCAAAACAGTGTTTTCTCAGAAATGCCGAAACATAAAAACCTTTTTTTTACCTTGGTGCTCAAAAAAATTTATCTGTCTCAGTTTTGGATGCAGAATTTCGTGCTCTTTGGAATGGTCATCTCAGACTTTTTATAACACAACGTGGAGCTTTAGAAATTTGAAAAAATAGGAATTTGGCTTGGAAAGTTGCAACTTTTACCGGGTGCAGTTTGTTCTCTCATAACTCCGCTGCACTTCACTTTAAAAAAG